CCCATTTCTATCCTATTTATTAAAGTTCGGAGACAAAGAGAGGATGTATTTTTGTATTGCATCCCAATCAAAAAAAGTTGATATCTTACTCTGAGAATTAAAATTATAATCATTTGGTTTTCAGAGAATAATTCCCAATCCTAATTCTGGCAGTAAATATTTTAAGATTAATAAGTTGGTGTGTGAAGGATTAAAACTTTTCAATTTACACTTTGTTCTTGTAGAAAAGTGTTTATTCATAGATGGCAATTGGTGCTTTCACCAATATGGCATCAAAAAGATTAACTCAGATTATTGAATTTGTATTTTCATATTAAAGGAGAGAAATAAAAGGTATCTATTGGCAATGCCATCAGCTGTTTTAGAAAATTCAAAAGCTGTCTTAGATTCTCATCAATATTCATTTGAAAACTGCCAATTCAAAATTCAAGACAATTTTCTTTTTAAATAATGAATTTCTACCAAACAACCAATAAAAAAAAATATAATCTAAGCCAACTTCAATGGCTTTAAATTGAATCCATTACTACATAAAATAATACTTATACTTCTATTGCCTGGTGCACAATGCTACCCTGTCTTTTAAACAGAAGTAGAGGTTTATCCCTTGTTCATTATTGAGTTTCTAGTCCCTTTTCATTCTCTTACACTCCAAGTAGCATCTTGCTTGGGATGAAATGAAAAAAAATGTTATTTACACAAATTTAATGACTTTAGTCATTATTTGATCTACCTAATGTTGTAAAGTTATTTTCTTTTTCATCTTAAAAAGAAAAATAAATCCCATTTCTGGAGTCTTTAACAACAACATCCATGTACTGTACAGTGGATATATGACACCACATGACCATCTCTATATTTGAAATATCTGAATGCATCGAACTTGTTTTTTTGCTATGCTGAAAGGGAAACTTGGGCCCACCCATTTATTTATTTATTTTGCTTAAATAGAGATTTACAAATATCTTGCTTCAAATGTACAGCAATAAAAAAAAAAAAGGGGAACATACTTAACGGCCAATGAGAATAGAAACAATTTCTGACAATATGAGAATGTACTAAAGATGGCTAATGTGACAAGTGTTTGCCTAAAAGACTTCACTTTGCAATATACATTTTGATATGGACAAAATATTTTTCCATTGTTTAATACACAAATAAAAACTAAATTCTTTCTACAAAATAAACACTGAGGAAAAAAAATAGGAATAATTTTACTGAAGGAAGGGATATATATATATATATATATATATATATATATATATATAATAATATTAAAACAGTCTAAAAATTTAAACCTAGTTGGACACAACGAAACAGGAAATACAATACAAACGAAGGTGGTTGTTGTTGTTTTTAATTCTTTGTCTTACTCTTATAACAGAAAATGATAAATCAATCTACAATTTGTTCCAGAATAGAAATCACCTTCAACAACATATGATAATACAGCCTTGGAAAGGAAAAAGAGAGGTGAGAGAGAAAAAAAATAAACGAACGAAAGACACTCCCTTAACAAAATGTACTACCTTTTCCTACTACGGATGGCCAGTGATGCTGTAATGTAATAATTTTAAGTCTGTATGGTCTGCCGTACGTCGCCTCTGATTGCTGAATTAGCAGGTACGAGGTGGGCATAAAGATTTCTTACATCCACACACACACACACACACATTCATTCATTCATATGGTATACTAATATGTTTACAATTTTTATGAATACTTGTGGAAGGAGTGATAATTTCCCTATTCATTAATTAATTAGTGAATGGGACTATTTTTCTTCTAAAAGTCCTAGTCGTAATACCCTTCTTCAAAGATTCATTTGTAATGAAAACTACAGCTGTTGTACAGATTCTCAGGGATTTTTTCTTTTATGTTTATCTTTTATTCAGTCAAGCTAACTAAAAAAAAAAAAAAGCCCTAAGCAGTATCTCTGATATTGAAACTGAGTAAATGTTAAAAATACTTAACTTATCTTTTTAAAACTCAGTCGTTGGTTACAATGTGGCCCGTGACTAATGACTAGTGGTTTTATACAACGAAATAATTGTATCTTGTTTGTTTCTAAAAAGTGAGTAAAAATAAAATAAAAAAAGCACAATCTCTTGTGATCGCGTACAAAAGCAACATAAAGGAAAGCAAGGACAATAAATGGCACATACGTTTTTAAAATTCAAATTTATAAAAATCACAGGAAGAGGTGAAAAGGGAGTAATTATGATTGGGGTCGGTATTCTTTCCTTTTCAATTACAGCAAGGTAAGCAAAAAAAAAATATTTCACTGTTTATTGGGAGGATGGTGAAGCACCAGATGATAGTGTGTAGGTGGAGCTTTTACCAATAATAATCGAAATCGACTTACTTACCAAATGTCTATTAAAAATTTCTCATTTCATAACTTTAATTATGATCAATCAATTGTTCGGATGGGAGAGAAAGAAGGTAAATTCAAAATCAAGTCTTCACACACATCCATTATATAAGGAAAGAAAGATTGTTAGATTTTTATCTATTTACGTATTATTAATTGATTTTTAAGATTCTCACAACAACGAAAACGAGAGATGTTTAGAAAGTCAACCCCCCCTTTTTTTTTTACACAATAGAAACTAGATGTGTCATGCACTGTTGTGTTGTGTATTGTTAATGTACGGACAAAAAAAAAAAAAAAAACCGGGATCGGTTTTAAATACATCGAAACTATCCTCTAATCTCCGGAAAATTAAAAAGATCTTTTTATTTTGTAGCAACCAGCAAAGAATACAAATTTAAATAAATAAAAATTAAAAAAACGATTATGATCAGTTTGTTAGAATGTTGAGGTATTGTAACAATTTTTCCTTCTACAAAAAAATTAATTCATTCCATGATGATAGATAATTACATACGCAACAAAAATATTTGCAGTTAGGGACTTTATGGTTTGTAGGTAGGTAGGTAAATCAAACATAAGGGTCATTATTTGGGAGGTAAGGGTGCAAATGTCAATGGGGTAATACGAAAAATGTATTTTTATACTCGTTATTAATTATAAACGAAGAGAAAGAAGCATGTAAAAAAAATAAAAAACACGAAAATCACGCCATGACTGAAGAAAAGGATTTTTTTCAAATGCAATTTAAAGGCTAATGATAATAATAATTTAGTCCGGTAACCACGTCGTATACAATAAAATAGACGACATAAAACAAAGATTTTATTTTTATATGCCAAAACTTTTGGCCCAAAAGTAAACAATAATGGTAAAAACTAAAAAGGTTACACTATCGATTTCAAAGTAAACGAAATGATTCCCTTATGCGAGTGAATAGTTAATGATAAGGATCTAGAAAAAAAAATATCTAGACTCTAGAGTAAGTTTAACATAGCAGCTAACTTGTTTTTTGTTACCTATCCATAGCAAAAACAGAATTGATAAAGGAAACATAATAGCAAAAACAAATCCATAAATTATAATTCAGACAATTAAAAAAAATAAAAATAAAAAAGGGAAATGAGAAATTTTATTTCGTCTGTTCTTTTCATTTGAATTGTTGAATAATGATAATAATGATCATGTTAGTTTTTAAAGTTCATTATTTGGGTGGGGAAAAAGTAAAAACTGATGTTTAATATATATATATATATATATATATATATATATAAAAAACATCAATTAAAAACAAACTACTTTCAAAAATACAAAAAAGCACTCGCCCATGGCATTTACTTCGACTGCTTTCGTAGCTATCAGACCAAAATTTTTTTTTTTTTTAATCGTTTTTAAATTATCAAAAATCCAGGTTTATCAGTTTTAAAAGGAAAGAAAAAAAATTTAAGAAAATCACTTTATCCGCAATCCCTAACGAATAATGATGTATTGGTAACCAATTCAAAACATTATTTAAACCCAGCCAGTACTTTAGACTACTACATAGTCACCACTACATAATATTTTCCAAATCATCAATATAGAGGAGAAATATTAAGAATATTTTAAAATTACAAGTAGTAATTAAAAGTCAAACTCCTTCCCTGCAAAAATGCAAATTTGAGTTCATATGACAGTTGCAAAACGTGAATATCACCTGAGCTAACCGTACCTTGGTCTCAAAGTGAGGGATCAGTTTGTTGTATTTTATTTTGGCAATTTTTAACCTAACCCGGACGGATAGCAGAGAATAACGATGAACAAACTACACAGACATTTATCCTATATTGAGCAAAACACAGACGAACATTTTGCAAAAGGCAACCAACACAAAATGTCAAATCCCTAAAGGCCATGTCTTAAAAGAAGAACTCAACCCCGATTTTATGACCATCCGAAAAACCACGGGGAGGAGGCACACTTATTATTTATTGAAACTAATTCTTCGAATGTAAAGATCATTAATATTAACAGATCTTTGCTAATAAAAAAAATATATCGATAGAGAAGACGGAAAATATTAATTAAGAGGAGTTTATTACTTTAGACCCGGAGTTAGGACAAGATTTTTTTTTTGTTACACCCTCCTCAAGATTTTGCTTAAAAAAAAAAAAAAAAAAAAAAAAATGACAGTTATTCCCAAAAAGTACTAACTTGTTTTGGGTGTGATTCAAGAAGGCAGGCCAAGAATATAATTACAACGGCTTTGGAAGTGAAAATCATGATATTAGAGTTATCGACTTATAAAATAAGTTAAAAAAGCAACACTATTTCAGACTTTAAAATTTGCCCTATTCCTCCAGACTTTTTTTTTCAATTCTTTCCGAACTTTCTAAGTTTTTAGAAGTTATTTTTAGCGAAGTAATACATTTACTTCAAAGAGATTTTCTAAAGACAAGCTGCAATTTTTTTTTTTTTTTTTAATTACTAATGTCCCTCAAACAAATCATGATGACAACTACTCTAACATGTTATGCGATTGTATTATGTATACAGACATCTTAAGTAGTCCGAGATTACAAACCAGCGACTCAAATAGGTTTATAATACTGTTTTTTGAGTAGATTAGGGTTCAAGTACACCTTACCTGACCAGGTAATGTCAAGCTGAGACAATGATTCCTTTCAAATCATTCATTTTCCTTGTTTATTCCTATTCGCCTTTTCTCAAAGAGTTCCTTTCTTGCTTTTCAATATGGCAGCTTGACGCATGCGCCCTGGCCGCCACAGCTTCCGTGCAAATTTCTCAAACCGGCAAAAGGCGAAGATTTTGGGGAAAAGAACAAAGTTTCTGATTTGCCTCCACTTTCCCCTCTCTGGATATTGTCGATGACAAGTAGCGATTTAATGTCGAACATTTAATGAGGAAAAAAAAAACAAAAACAAAAACAAGAAATAAGAACCCGGAAAAAGTCGGAGTAGTTGACGTCACCGGAAGTGACCTCTTCGGAAACGACCAGGTCGTCTGAACTTACTCTTTTTCCTTGTTCACTTTTGGAGGATTCAACCGGAGTATTTATCTCCGATCATTTTATTTTAAAATATCACAATATTTAAGCCCTGACAATTACACTAAATAAATTGGATTTTTTTTTATCCGTGTGCGTCCATTTTGAAGTCCCATTTTGAAATCTTTCATGTAAATTTTAAAAATACATTTGTTTGCAGTTTGCTTTGCTCAATAATTTCCTCCTGTCTTTTAGTTCCCTGAACTTAAAAAAATACGAGTAAAATTTTACGTTAATCACTAGACAAGGTGAGGTTTCCTACCACAAGCCTAAAAAATTCTGATGTCTAAGAAGAAGAGTGTTAACGCTTTTAAATTTAAAATATTTAAGCTTAATTTATTTTAAACTTAAATTATTCGTATTCATTATTATGAGTGATTATTAATTTAATTTAAAAAAATGAATTCTCTCTTGAGTCTCTTCTTTTCTAACTTCGTATTACTTTCTTTTCACCTTGAAATGTAAATTAGAAATAAAATTTAAGAATCAATCTAACATAATTTATCTAATTAAAATTTGAAAAAAATAAAACGATCGTTAAACTAAACATTTAAAAAATATTTTTAAAAAAAAGAAAATTGTTCTGCTAAAAATGCCTGTGGACTTTTAAAGCCAGAGATGCCTCACTTGATTTTCAAAAACACATTTCAGAACATGTGATTTGACTGTAAAGAAATGTGGTGAATGAACAGAATATAAATCATTTCATAATAAAACAAAAAAAAATCATAGAAATATTTTGATAAAAGCTAACATTGGAATTAAATAAGACAAAAAATTGAATAAATTTAATATTTTCAGATAATTTCAATTAATTAAATATTCTCATAGCGTTAATAGTGGAAAATTCAAAATTTTAAAAAAATATTTATAATCTTTATTCTTTATTATTTCAATTTTGTTTAATGATATTTTTTGGTATGATACAATTTAAAATTTGGGAAAGAGTATATATTTCTCCAACATAACCCTAAGTCTTGAAATAAAAAAAAAGTTTTATTGCTATATAATAATAATGACAATAACACCTTACAGAATTTAAAGATTCTATGTTGGTGTAATTTTTGTGGGGTGCTTGTTCACATGTAAACAATTAAAGAAGAAGCAAACAAAAACTTGGTTTTATACTACAGACCATTTAGTCTTTAATTTTTATAGTAACTGTAGGGTTACAAAGTTCTCTATATCTCTTTGGGTATATCCATTTTTCTTTTACTGAAGTTTGGCTAAGTAAGGAAAAGCTTTGTTATAATGTTTGGGCTCAAGTCAGCCTTGCACAGAGTTGGAACAACCAAAGAAAGGTTTTACTTACTTCATCAGTAGTTATAATGGTCAATCTCAAGTCAGCTTTGTGCTGAGTTAGAATGACCAAAGTAAAGGTTGATTTACTTCTTCAATGGAGGTTTTTTTAAGAGATGTGCAAACACTATGTGTTGGAAAATGAAAAGAGAGTTCAGCTGACCATGGAAAAGAGACGTTTCCAGTAGGGATGTCTTCATCTACTTCTACTACATCTTGGAGCAAGTGGGAGAAAGAGCATAGGGAAGGAAATGCTTGTCTTTTTAGAGACTTAAACAGTGCCACCTAATGGGCATTTGGCAAAGCCAAGTGGAGTAATAAAATTTCCAGCTCCTTTATTACTAGCATCATGGAAAATTATTTTTTATTCCTTATTATTATTTTATTTATTGATTTTATTTCATTTTCCTACAATTTATTGATATACATAGAATTATGTAATTTAGCATGTTAAGATGAGCAGAATTTTGTCAGTAAAAGTGCTCAATAGATATCTAGAGTAATAACTATTATTAGTAATAAATAAAAAGTTCACAATACCTATCTATTACAGACTAAATTTTGCGATGTTAACATCCCTCAGAGTCAGACAAGAATATTGTATTATTGACAGAATATACAGAATGCGATGGATAAATTGTCATCTAAATTACACAAAAATGAAAATAACACTGACATCTCATTTTAACAGATATATTTATCAAAATTACACAAAAATATCTTTAAATACTATAGAATAAATTTATTCAATAAAATTGCCATTGGCTTCAACTACAGCCTCCAGACGAGATCGGAATCTCCAACAACTCTTCTGGATGGTCTCCTTGTTTAAGTTGGTCAATGCTGTCATAATCCTTGCCTTCAGTTCATCTTTGATGTTACAAGGAGTTTTGTTGGTGTTGCACTTAACTGCACCCCACATATAATAATCAAAAGGTTGCAGTCTTGGGAATTAGGTGGCCAGATGTAAGGGGTGATGTGGTCACAGAAATTGTCTGACAGCCATGGCTGCGTTCTCGTGCTTGTGTTGTATGGTACAGAGTTCTGTTGCCAGACATAGGCTCTAGCAGCAACCACCCTCTTGACCCAGGTCAGCACTACCTCCTGAAGGCATTTCATATAGACCTTTATGTTGTGTCTGAAGCCCTCACCAACAACTACGGGAGTTCTTTTCTTATCAAAATGATCAGAGTGAGTTTTTCAAACTGCCATAACTACATAATAGATTCAGCCAACTCTTTCCAAATCCTCTGCACTGTTCTCAGATTGACAACCAAACACTCTGAAATGAATTGAGCCCTGTGGGAAGATGAATGGAAGCATAATGTCGCCATCACTAGTGATCACTCCAGACATGATGTTGACTGGATATATCATCCAATTCTCTGCACTGTCCCCAGATTGATACCCAAACACTCTGAAATGTTCATATTGGAGCTTCTGGTGTGAATGCCAAGCAGGACAGCATACTGTTTCCAAATTTCTGGCAGAGTGAATTGTGTCATGGTGCTCTTTTTTTCACAGACAGTACCCAACAGAAACTTACTATACTGTGCAGTTGACAAAATAAAAAAAAACAACAATGTTCAAAATTAAAAATATAAAATGGGCACAATTTTGCCATCACATGCTGTACACATTTTCATAGATGCTTATTAAATACCGTAACTAAATTTTCAAATTTAAAATCTTCTATACTGACAACTGTTCTATACTGTTCATTGTGTGTGTGTGTAGAATTAAACATTGAGATAAAATGCAGGGATTATTAAATTTAAAATTTTAATTCCTTGCATTTGATGTGTCTAGCTTACTTAATTCAGTTTCTAACTGCTTTTACTTTTGCTTTTATCACTGTTGCTTTTAAATACCCCACATTGTAATAGCACTTGCGTTGTTAAGAAAGGTGAGATACTGTGTGAACTTGGGCCATAAATTTATCATGGAAGACTCAGAAAAGAATGCATTTGCAGGTAATTCTATTGTCCAGGTTTTTCTATATTAAAAATCCAAACATCCAAATTCTGAACAATAATAAAATAAAAATAAAGAAAATACAGGTATGCCTCTTAAATAAATCATTTGTATTTCCAAACATATGTACATGAATTGAAAAGAGTCAAAAATGAGTAAAAATAGTCTTTTTCATTGAGTTAAGGGTAGTTGGTCCACAGAAAAAATTGTAGTTTAGAAAAGAATTTCATTGTTAGCAAAAATTCACTCACCATCCCAGTCAATGAATTAAGTCAGTGTATCTGCTGCTGTTGTTGTAGATGATTCATTTGAAGTCACTAACACATGTTTCTTTAAGCACGTACAGTTGTGGTGTGGGGGGGGATTGGTGTAGTTACATCTCTTGTGTTTGAATGGCTTGGAGACAGTTGAATCTCTGCTTCTGAAAGTTAAAACATGCATGTTTTTATAATAAATTTTTCCTGAATGTAGGCTTGAGAGAAATAGGGTTTTATTTTTCTCTGATTAGTTAAATATTCCATATGGTGATGTTGGTCTCTAACCAATAGACACTTTGATTTAAACAGTGTGTGTTGGATTGTAGAATCTTTTTGGCATGTTTGTAATATTGTCTGTTATTGGGTAAAAAAATAAAGTTTGGGCATGTTTAACATGGTATGATATTGTATTGGAAAGAAGGTTTATTTCCTATGCACTTACTATATATTTTCACCTTGTTATATTCTGTGCTAATAGGAATATATACTTGACAAACATGGATAAAATAAGTAAAGGTTTATTGTAAAAACCAATACAATAAGAATAATGGTAATGGTTATGCACAAGGTCGTCACAAGTCAATCCAGTAGTGAGTGCTACTATTAGAAGGTCAGTGGTTCTCGTGTACTCAACAGATCCTAGATAGACTCTTGTAGTCCGTTGCCTTACAGATACTTATAGGTAGTTACTACCTATAGTGTAATGGGGGTGACAGGTTATTCCATTACATCACACCTTAATGAATTATCTTTTCTATTAATTAAGATTGCATTCTTTAATTTTAAATTATGGTCAGACTCATTACAATGAATGACAATTGCATTGAGAGAGTTGTTTCATAAAAGAGTATAAGGATGTCCTTTTGAAGGACGAAATATGTTACATAGGATGTTTTTGTTTCCATTTTGTGATTCAGTTACCCATATATATATGTGTGTGTGTGCATATATATATATATATATATATGAAACTGCATGAAATTCCAAGATGTGCTATCAATGTCAGATATTATGTGTATTCACTAATATATATTTAATAACTCTGTTATATAACATTGAGCACTGTATT